AAAAGTATGTTTATTTATTTATCATGCATTTAAGAGAAAGGAAAACAAAGAAACACGGGTGTATTAATGCAATTTATTTAAAGTACAGCATTGTCACAGCATGCTTATTTAATTTGTAATAATTTTGTTTTACAAGGGGCCGGAGGCCTGAAGTTTGATGAATAAATTCCCTGTATGGGGAGCATGAACTAAATTCTGGAACGCAATTTTGGCCAAATCTACGTATGCAGATAATGTAGGACGCCAGGTAGGGCCGTCACGCATGAGTTATTCTGTTCTTGCGTTGCGTCGTCACACAAATTGAAAGCTCCCTAATATTAGACAAATGGTGTTGATACAACTTTTCGAAATCTCACCTGTGCCCTGTACCGAAAGCCTTCTATTTCAGACATCCTAAATTGATAGGGCTTCAATGAAGAGGCACTTTCACCTAAAACAAATAAACACATAGTGCAATTCAATTACTGGTTAATACATTGTCAGCAATGGAAAAAAAAAATTTTAAACACCTAACTTTGCCTAATGATATATTTTTATATTTTGAATATTTATGATTGATATATATATTTACTATTATAAACTAATATTTCAAGGCTTCAAATGGGATTAGTTTAGCTGTGTTTTAAATGTTTTACATACTGAAGAAATAAATAAATGATTTATTAGATAAATTTGTTCATAGTGATTGATAAAACTTCTTATTACCTGACTGAAGGGCACCCTCTATTTCATTAAATACTTCTAATTCATTTTCACCAACAAAAGACAGAGATGTTCCTAGTTGATCACCTCTTGCTGTCCTGTAGAAGAAAAATAATGAACATTGAGTACAACTGGATTGAAGGCAAGTATCTTAACAACCAAGCTAGTCAACTCTTCTCTAATACTGTACGGATTTTGCTTACCTTCCTACTCGATGGATGTATGCCTTGAGGGATGGAGGGAAGTCAAAATTGATAACATTGGAAACATTTTGGAAGTCTATACCCCTTGATACACCATATTCCTTGGCTCTATTTTTCCTCTTATCCCTAAAAGATGAGTAGATGGAGAAATGAATATCAAAACACAGTAAAAGTGCACTGCTATACATTGTACTGATTTTTAAAAATAATAACAGTAGAGCTTCAGGGGGTGGATCCAGTAGAGGGCATGAGCCCCCAATTTTGCCACTAAATGTTTAAATTTCAATGCCTATATTGATATTAGCACTAATTAGTGCTACTCACTTACCTAAATTCTAAGTATGTTGTGCCACCCTCTCCCCGTTTGAAAAATTCTGGATCCGCCCGAGCTTATCCCAATTTTATGTAGCATGAGGCAGATGAGAGTGTGATGCACCCCCCTGAATGAGACACTAGTCCATTGCAGGTTACTCCCAGCAATTTACTGATACCCATTGCTCAAGGACACAAGCAAAATGCACAGAGAAGGATTGAAAACCCAATGTCGAGGCCAAACCATTGCTCCACAATCATCAATCAAGCTAATATGTAAATTGATGACTTGCAGTAACTTACCTCCGTGGCTTTTCTTGGTCTGTCACATGACTTTTGGTGTCCAATAGGACACTTTCATCTGAAGCAATGATGATGTCATAAAGTCCACTGTTGAACTGATTTACAATATGACAACGCGAGTTCACAGGAAGTTCGGAGTTCAAAACGCAACTAGATATTTTGAACTGTTCCAAGAAAAGTTTTAATCTGCAAACCAAAAAAACAAGATCAAACTGATAAATAATAAAATAACTTAAATAATATATAAACATTATATAGTTACTATAATTATATATATTTAATCATTATCATTTTGTTATCTATTATATAGAATTACTATATCCAAGTTTTGATAAAATCTGAAATTTATCTTAAATTATTAAATGCTGTTATAATAAAAATAATTATAGTATACATATTTAACCATTAATAATGATTATATTATTTAGCATTTATTATTTATCTATTAATAATAATTATACAAAATTATTAATAATGTATTACTATTTATATACTATTATTGTACATTATAGGGGTTACCTGATACATCTGTCGATTGTATTTACAAAAATGATTGTCTTTCCTCGAATAAGCTTCAACTTGAGTAACGTGAAGATGAGCAAAAACTTATCAGCTTGACAGCACTTCACATGGTATTGCATCAGCTGATCAGTGTCTGGTAAATCAGAATCCTCCAGTTTTAAGATCACCTGTTGATAGACATATTAGACTCTGTCTTACTAAATTGCAAGCTTGAGTCATTAGGTAATTATCAAAAAAGCTATAGGTTTTTTTGACTCAGCAATTGGTTTTAGTCAGCTATATGCTTGAGGGTGACTTCAATCCTCTGGTCTAGGGTAATTTCACTGACCAACAAGTAAAGAAAACAAAGTACATGACACCCCTCTATATCCAAGGTTCCTCTACTTTTCTAACTATGAATCATCTTCCCAAATTTTAAGGCACCAAAAATGGTCTTAAATTGGATGGTAAACTGTACGTGTTTGTATTCAGCAACTGGTTTGAGGATGAAGTTACTCCTCTGTTCTAGGGTAATTTCATTGACTAATCAGCTAAGAAGATACAGTTTGCCATCATTTGGTGACTAACGTTAAAGATTGTTATTGGTACTGGTATTGGTATACGTATCTATAATGTGCCTTTTCCTTGAAGTTATAAAGCAAACTTCTATTCACAATTAAAATAGTTCAATAAATAAATCATTTTCGTACTGGGTTATGCAGGACAAGTTTCTTCAGTGTTAATACTTCTTCACTAAGAGTTGCTGACATAAGTACAGACTGGTAGATTTTAGGGAGGTATTCTAGAAGAGCTTTGAGGTCTGACTCGTAACCAAATGAGAAAACTAAATCAGCTTCATCGATCACCAGCATTTCTAGCGACTCCTTGAGATCTAAATTGCTGCATTGTAGGTGTTGAAGGATACGGCCAGGTGTTCCCACAACTATGTCCGGTTTCTCCATCAAAATCGACCTACGTAATATAAAAAGAAATCACCAACAGAAAATTTAAGACATAGAATCTCACCCTACATTGATATCTTTTTATTTAAACTTAGTCAGGTAATGGAGAAGCATATCTTACAAGTGACAGCGTCCTTTTATGCTTTTGCTTATCTATTTCATGCTATTTTTCTTGTATATTTTATGCCGGAATTAATAAAATAACAAAATAAAATAATGTTTTGTGCTATGAAACTATTCATTTAAGAAATAATTATAAAGGTGTTAAAATTTGATTTTGCATGTCTATTCATATTCTTATCACATCATCTGTTGAATATTCATACTGACCTTTGTGCCTTGATGTTGACCTGACCTGACACATCTGCACATTTGACCTCTCTTGAACAGCTGCTGGATAAATCCTAAAAATGAAAAAAAACTCTGACTTACATTTTAAATGCTAATATAGACCAACCAATTTGTTAAATAATGGCAAAAGTATGACAATTGGAAATTACATAAAATACACATTTAAAAACTCATGAATACAAACTTCTACTATTTGACCATATACAAGATGCTGACATCTTTTTTTTTCCATAGCAAAATACTAATGAAGCAAAAAAATTAGCATGTTAAGTTTCAGTAAATTATGTTCTTTATAGTGATTTTAAGAACAATAAGAAGAGGCAGAACTTACCTGAATATTAGAGTAAGCTTGCCGGCAAAGTTCTCTTGAAGGTGTCAACACCAATGTTGAGACATATTGCTCTTCAGTTCTCTAAAAGTTGTTATAGATATCAAAATGAAATTTAAATACCAAAAAAAAAAAAAAGTACAATAATGTTAATTTCCTGAGGGCACAACTGATTATAGACCATTTTCGCAAAATTTGAAATGGAAATTTCCAATAACTTGGCAACTACCACTGGGGGACATCCAGAGACCTAGCATTTCGCGCTATGTATTTATTTATTTATTTATTTAAGGTATAACACACAAAACAAAACAACAGCCAAAGGCTGACAACGTTTGTTTACAATCAACATGTAGTTACATCATGGATTAAATCAACAATAAAACTAAATTATTTATGAGCACAAATATTTCCAAATGGAAAAAATATAAAATATTTATAATAAAAACAAGTATAAGTCTTAAAAATCTATTTCAATTTTTACATATACAGTATTAGCAAGATCGTATATGTTGTCTACTGCATCTATAGCTAAGGTCTAGCGGTGCTATACTATACATTGCACTATGCAGTGCTCTACTTGTAACTAGCCAGCTGCTCAGGCTAGACTGCTGGAAGCCCCCCAGTAAGTGTCGAGATGTTGGTGGTGCTATTTCAAAATATATCTGATAAAATGATCTATATGAGAAATTCTTGTGGTTAGAAGGGAAACCCTAGTATTTGGGTTGAATTTTGTTTTGTGGTGATATGATAAACTGAGGTGGCAGATGTACTGTACTACCTTTGGTGGTAAACACTATCTATATATAGTAAGAGGTTTATGTTATGATCACTAAGATGCTCTAAGCATACATCTGAACCTTGTCTAAACCTTGCTGGTTTTTTTTGGGTTACTTACCTGTTTCCGAAGCAGTATTTTCTGGATGAGAGGCACAACAAAAGCTGCTGTCTTCCCAGAACCAGTCCTTGCTCGAGCCAGAACATCTTTACCCTCAAGAATCATTGGAATAGCCTGCTCTTGTATGACCGTTGGTTTTTCCCAGCCAAGTTTTGCGATATCCTACAGAGAAATATACTGATAAATTAACTTACTAATAAAAAACTTATTTTTTCTTAGTTTCTTCATTAATTTTCACATTTAGTGCAATTCTTGAGAATTAAGTATACAATTTTTGTGAGAACAGTTCTACTTTACAGATTTATGACAATATATTCTTAAAATGTCTTCAACTTTACACTGGAAAAACAAATTAGATACCTGGAGGTCGTGGGTTCGATTCCAACCCGAATCACTTGCGAATTATTCGGCATATTTTAATCTTTGAATTGATTTTTGTTACGTCTGTTTTTCCAGTGTAAGGTTTAAGACATTTTAAAAATGTATCGAAAATAAAATTATAGTCTACACTTACGTATATTCCATAGAGTACTAACCCTACCTACCTAGGCGGACTAGCCTAGGCCTAACTAGCTTTCTAAACACAGCAGCTTAGGCCACGCCTAGACCACGTAACCAAGGCGGATCCACCTCAACTAGGCCTAGGTAGGTAGCTAGGCCTAGGGCTATTCAGAGCTGTGGATTAACTTATACATACAATACGGACCTTTAGCAAACGGTCATCAAGTCCCATTTCATGAAATTCTACACGTTTTTCTTCTTCATTATTGTCTTCATCAAGAACTAACTTATTTATGACTTTCTTTTTCGACTTCTTTTTGGCCATGCTTTCATTCCTTTCCCGACGATCCTTGTTTACCAGTTAATTGACGATGAGGGCGTGCTTTATACAGAATGTTGAGAACAGTTGTGTAGTTCAAGTAGTAGTAGTAGTAGTTTGGGCTCTTGAGGGGAGAGGTGTCTAGTATTGCCAAAAGTAATTTATTGAGTACACGAACGTTTTCGGGCATCACACTTCATCAGGTATACTCTTATACACATCTAGATGTGTATAAGAGACAGGGTTACTCCGTAGTATCTGTCTCTTATACACATCTGGGGAAGCCAAGAATAAGACACAGAAAAAAAACCAGTAGGCTTATCAACAATTCAAAACCATCTCTGTCACCGACTCAGACTGTCAAAAGTTGTAAATCAATGGGACGATGGGGCAAAGATTCCAATATCTACCGTATGTTTTTATGAGGCTCACAGGCTGCCAACTTAATAATGCGGGGAGGGAAGTCTTTTTTCGGGAATTCTGTCATTATTTTGTTGTACCCCATAGTGCGTATATAAAACAAAGACCATTGGTTATTTCTCTATTTCCTTCATAACATTCCCAACATGAAAATGGAGAATGAGATTTGACAATGGTTTTATTATGATTTTGAAATATTTTTATACAGATACAGTAAATGAAAAAAAAAGAGTTGGGGATCTTGTTTGGTGGTGTTTGGTTTTAGATTTTTAGACACCCATTGCCTGTAATACGAAGACCTCTGATTTAACAACCCAATGTCGAAATAATCTCGTTGTGATAGTACGATATAAAGAGAGAAAATGTGGTGGGGTCTTAAATTTTCGGGTTTTTGTTTTCGTTTTGTAGACCTAACCAATAGGGTGTCTATAAAAACGGTCATGGTTTTATGATGATTTTAAAAAACATTTTCATAAAGATAAATGAGGAATAAAGAGGGAGTCTTTGCTTCGTTTTGCAGATACATGGTGTCTATAATACTAATTTCACAACCAAATGTCCCTATAAACGGTAATATCGAGATTTAACCATTTTAACCTTTTATCCAAAATGGATTTCACACTTGGTTATTAGTGAATTGTTTGGCTGGAATGAATGTTGGCAATATAATTACGCAAATAGGTATAAGTTTAAAATCTATATTTCACCCATTATACAGTTTACCATGTATTGTACTGTATTATGATAGTATAATACATAGGCTACTCCAAGTATCGAAATGCACGCCGTCGTGTCGGGATTCAATATTTCGACATTTATTATGTCATCATCAGGATGATGAAATAATTAATATCGAAATATTGAATCCCAACACGATGGCGTGCATTTCGATATTTGGAGTATGTATTATACTATCTTATCTGAGATTTATCAGTGGACCTTTCGGTTTTTGTACTGTATATGTAACATGCTTTCATAATTTTGACATAAAGAGTACAGGATTAAGGATGTACATGGGGTTAGTGGCCTGATGATGACATAATTACTGTAATGTCGAAATATTGAATCCCGACATGATGGCGTGCATTTCGATACTTGGAGTATGTATTATACTATCTTATCTGAGATTAATCAGTGGACCTTTCGGTTTTTGTATTGTATATGTAACATGCTTTCATAATTTTGACATAAAGAGTACAGGATTACGGATGTACATGGGTTAGTGGATGTGTGTGTGGGAGGAGTGGCGTGCTAGTGGCTCCGAAGATTATATTGAGAGCTTTCAAACATGAGGTGGGAGTGTCAATCAAACTTAACAAACTTAAACTGACCAATCAGAACAGAACAGGGCCAGGAATACGCACACGCATTGTTAGCGTTTACTTTTTTTGTGAGACCTTAATAACAATATCCAAGGGGCGGGACTTAGAAGGATCAATCTGGCTTCCATAGAAACTAGGCAAATTTTGGACGATTTTTATGCTGTGCTTATGTATTTTGGAACATATTATGCCCAACAATATTTTGGTCACATATTTGTGGTTGATAAGAATTAACACCCTGCTGCTGCCACTATGTGGGAGGGGGAAGAGGAGGTAACAGTGTTCAGGTACATTATATCATAACACACAAACAGGTCATTTTGCATTTAAACATTTGTTTTAATATTTGCTCAAAACATTTTTTCAACAACTGTATTAAGAAGCTTATGTATTGTTTACATATTTCAATGGAAACATAGATTCTGAACTAAAGACACCAAAATAACTGGTGGAATAAGTAATAACTAAAATGTGCAATGACCTAATCATTGAAATTAATTTAGCAAACCACAATATAGTTGATATAGTTCATAAAAGATCATTACATGAAAAAAAAAATTAAAAAAATATTATTTACCAAGTAATTTTTGAAGTAATTGTGTTGAAAAAAAGGTAACATATTTGGTTTACATGAATTACTACTTGATTGTAAATCTGACCGATACAAAGGGATTTATCAGGATTCAAACTACACTTAAACACTTTGTTATGTGATCACGTTTGATTGCTATGTGATCTAACAGTGACATGCAGAAGGTTACATTATCTTCACCTCTGGGTACAGTTGGTACAGCAATAAAATGATAGTCGGAGGGTTTGGGTATAAAAGTCCAGAGGTGGCTAATATGTTTTTCCTCAAAATCAAGGGAGTGTGTTCTGGATCAATTCCTCCACAATTTACCATCACATAACTCATTACAAAAATTCTATATTATAATTGAAATTAAGTCATATTGTAATGCAGTTACATTCATTATTATAATTAGAAGAGAATTTCCCAATACATATGTGTACATTTTCAAATATTTTTTTTTCTCCTTTAAAATTCCTACTTTCTTGAATTTTATTGTGAAAATGCTGTAAAATTACCTTGCAGAATAAAGACAACTGAAAGGGGTGGGTGAGTTTCAAGAGAGTCGATCGGATTCATAAACATATGAAATTAATTCAAATTGACATGAAAAATAGGAATTGGCACACACCATCACTTCATCACTGCAATTCCTACTTGAATAATGGACACATATATTTCTATTTACTCAACCAAAAATATTAACAACTAGCAGGACAGATTGTGATTGTATATTGTTGAATATTTTATAAAGTACAGGTGTAGTATTTACTATGAAATGACACTGGACTCGTCTTTACAGGAGGTTAGATCATCACTCTTAACCACCTTCCTCTTAAAAAATAAATAAATAAATAAATAATCACAATAAAGAAATTGAATTCTACTTGCCACTACTTTTGGAATGACAAAAGGCATTATAAGGTAGAAGGAAATAGAAATGACCAATGTGCTTGTGAAGCTTAGGGGGTTTGAAAACACACATAAAAACATGTTGAAATTGGAGTCACACATACGTATACATTCTTAAAAAGACTAACATACTGTTGTAATCGTTGTGTGTATATATATATAGGTTGGCAGAATAAGAATTTCATCTTTTAATACAAAAACAAATTGGGAATAGATTGAGTCTACATTTGGACACACATGCTTACAGAAAGTAAGCAATTTTTAATTTTGTGTTATCTTCTGAGTTACTACAAATTGTAAAACCGCAATGGTGCAACCTGCTAGGCTAAACAGATACTGTAGGCCAAGCTTCAATGATAATATGCTTGGCTGTCCAGTGATGATATGCTTGGCTAAACTAAATTGGCAAGCCTCCCACAATATTAGATGTATTGGCTTGCAGGTATGGTTTTTTATTCAGCCAAGCCTACTAACCAAGTGGTTCTAGGATGGCCAATGCTAGGTTAACTAAATTTAGTAGCCAAGCATACCAGATTTAGGCTCCAGGGACGCTGATAGGAAGCTAGCAGGCATGCAATCATATATGAAACATACATCGAGATGGTTTATTGATATGTAATTCAAGGTCAGTCACATGATCGAACTACAGCCAAATGGCAGAACACGTCACAAACGCCGTGAGAACACCAAAACATATGCAGGATCCTTACACGTACGCTGTTTATATACCAAATGTTCAGTATATTAATAAATGCACAACCCTTTTTTTTGACACTAAATTTGAGTATAATATCTAGGCATTTAGGCCATGTGAGTGTTCCTGTGTAAGAAGGCATTAGGCTCAAGACCGTACACAATTACCATTATACAAACTTCCTAAATTTAATGCTATGAATCTGGCGATTTATCTCTCAATTGCAAAGAACTAAACTTATCTAACGTAGCGTCTGACGGATCATCAGCATAACCCCATGCCCCTGAAGACTCGTGTAACGACTCAGAAGTGTCGGACTCTTTATCTGAATCGTTTAGCGTCGAGAGAATGATGTCCTGAAGAAAGAAACTCCTATCTGCCTGTTCCTCCTCGATAGCTTGTTGCTCTGTATCTGTCACGGATGAGCCGTTAATCCTGAAACATCAATGATATTTCTAATAATCAATTTCACCATTTGTAAACAATCACACTCTGATACATTTAAGCTTAGCGGACTTTTACAAATATCGTCACCAACACCATGAAGTGACACAAACCTAAAAATTCAGTTTTTAAATTTGTTTTTTCTTTGACATTTTGATTATTTACATTGGACGCTACCCTTTCAGCTAATTTTTAAGAGTGAAACTATATTATTTAGTTAATTAGACTAATTAGCCATAATGCACAAACCAAGAAAAATGGATTTTTTGTTTTCAAGAATAGACACAAGCTACACTCTACGTGTAAACAACTTCACGAACAGACACAAACTGTTCACGTTAATTAACAGGTTAATTAGAGTTAAGAAAAATAAATTGAACATTTGAATTGTTTAATGCTTTATCTTTAAACATATGTAAAAAATATTTAAAATGTTGATATCTTGATAGTGAAATTTTCCGTTTTGTGAACTAGTTTACTTCAAACATGTTTTTCTCAAAACGCAGTTTTGGTCGAAATTGAACTTAATTCAACTTAACTTGAAAAAATATTAATATTAATATTATGCTTTGAATTAAGCATGCAGTGTGAGAAAAACTGCTGTCATTAAAAAAAAAAATTTGTCATTTTTTTTGCATGAAAAAGAGATACTTCGGGTTAAGTTCACCCCCACAAAATTGGCCTAATTTATTAATTAAGGGTGTGGGCTTATACCAGAAGTAGTACAGTATAATTACCAAAAAAAAAAAAAAAAATGGAACTAAACAAACTTAGCTAAATTTGTAAAGTATTATTTAAAAAAATCAAACATCCTTTTTCTCATTCATTCTTACTCCATCTTTGACTTGATATTATCACAGACCGTTTCAATTTATGAACAAACTTCAGGATCATGTTTTCATATACTGTGTAATAATTATTTGGATGGAAATGGAGTAAATGTTGATTGACCTACCTAGATAATAGAAACTGTGTTGATCGACCTACCTAGATAATAGAAACTGTGAGTCTCTTTGTGTATTACAAGCTGCATTTCCTAGAACACCCCCACTTGAACTTTGACTTGGGTTATTATTATTGGATGGCACCATCTGCCTTCTGGGTACTGGTAGCCTTTCAACCTGCTGTCTTGTGCTGCCTTGCTGGGCATGTTGAACCTGCTGCCTCTCTAATTGCAGCTGCATAATCTGCAACTGCTGGAGCTGGGAGGCTGTTGATGAGTGTCCTGCCGACCTCCGAACCCCAGATAATTGTGATAGTAATTCTGTAAAAATAGATTTTTATCAGTTATTGTCTCCATCACAATCCATGATTATGCAAATAATAAATTATTTTATAACTAACAGGTGTTTCTTGATACTATATTAAGTTTAATATCACAAATTGTAATTATTCAGTTTTACTATTACTGACAATATCTCCACCGATATATTGTTTATCTAGGCCCACATTATCTCCATTGCTATAATTTCCATTGACATCATCTCTGTTAATGTCATCTCCGCCAACATCAACTCCCACAACATACATTTCCACTTACATCAAATTCAATAAAACTTTCACCAAGACTATCATTTTTAAATAACACACTCACTAACAAAAAATAACACCTTCCCCTACATTAATACATTACCTGCAATTGGGTCCATTGTTTCCCTACTGCCAGGAGAACTTGACGGTTGGCTTGAGAGACCGGTACCGCTGCTAAAGTGCATGTTAGTTCGCCTAGTACGTGGTCCAAGGCCACGCCCGGGGTGGAACATTCTTCTTACGTGCCTACCTGCACCTGCTTCATCGTGAAAGACAATGTTAAGGGAAAATTACATATTTAGTATGTATTTCACTGAGTTTCTTTTGATAAAAAAAATGTATACAAATATATAATTAAAAGATTTTGAATAATAGTAGAGTTGCAATCATACACTAGCAGAAATTCATTATACAAATGTTATATTAATGCTCGAAAGGCCTGAAGGAATTTTTTGAATGCATTAATCTAACCTAAGTATAATAAATTTCCACTAGTGTATAGATTAGCATTCTACTGTCTTTTAACGTTAGTTTTGATAACCATAGCAGTCATCGGTTGCTAGTGATGTGATCAGTATATCTGTGTGTGTATTAAGTTTAGCTGTGCGTATACAGATTGTTGCTACAGTACGTGCTAAAACAAAGCAACGTTACACACAGATTGGATACAATGATTAAATATTTGATTGTCTTATTCCCTCTTCGAGATGGAGGGCCAACCTGACAGTTTAAGGCATTCGGCCCGAGATGGATGTGGACTACTCATCCTTCCAACTTACTTCTCCCCTAAGAGTCTTGTCGTGTCATCATATGCAGGCTAATCCACATTTTCAGGAGCTGTGAGATGGACCAATACACAGGGGTAACCACTACCCTCTATTGTATTTGAAGAACATGAATTTACTATTTTGATAGACATTCATCAAAAAAATAAATACTTTTTAAAGCATTTGAGAGAATACAGTAATTTTTGGTTGGTGCAGACTGGGAATTCCTTAATTTTTCATACATAATATTGAACTTGAACTAACTTTCTTTAGGTTCTAATCAACCTTGTTTACAATTAATTTTTTCAATTACTACTTGTCAACAAACAATGACTGGACAAGTGTCTGCACTCTTTTAATTTACAGTACGTACACAGTTGGGAATAGGAAAATAACATTGGGAGTTACAGTGATGACGTCATGATTGACTTTATAATAGATAGTTATAGTATGAATGATAGCATTTAAAAGGATATCAAATCTCTAGACGTCCTGTGTTCTAATGTCAGATGAGCAGAAAAATCATCCGTCACAAGGTTAGGTTCACCACCTGGAACTGCTGCACAAACAGGACACACCTGCAGTAGACAAACATGCAAATGTTTTAATGAATATTCACATTATAATTTTCATTACTATTTTCCTTATTTTCAATGATTAAGAATCAATACTTACTTTTATTAAATATACATGATATACTGCATGTAAATATTCTGATGAATAAATACAGAGTTTTCATAGAAACATGACAAAATATCATATATAATGATACAAATGATTTAATACACATTCATAATGATTATCATCTTATAACATTCTTATGAATAAATTGTTAATTGCCATAAATATATTTATGATCAAGTATACAATATACTGACAGCAATATTGAATTGTTATGCCTCAGCATATAACCACCATTAATTGTTTAATATATGTGCAAATGATCTAATGAATACTTAAGCAGGGCACTTCATTTTTACCGTACAAGTCCTTTAATGAAACACAAAAATGCAGAAAATGAAATTGAACTGGTGAAGAAGGTATGTAAAGATTCCTAAGTTTCAGGGCACAAACAGTGGCTGTTTAGCTGACTGAGCTAAGCTAGTCTATAATTTATGACAATTATACTAATAATTATAGAACAGATATTAATTAAATCATTTGTTGGGCAAGTGAATAACTACAAAGAAAACTGAACACACTATTTAGGTTTAAGCCCTGTCCAAATTTGATTCAACAAAACCATGTGATTTGCCTAAATATGGTCATGATGACATTATATGGGTCATGATAACAGTTTTTTGTCAAATGAAATTTGATAGTTTGGACAAGGCCTTATCGTACACCGCACCGCGGCGCTTAATCAGAGTATATAATATTACACTGTGTGTAACGAAACAGGGTTTTAAATACAATATATACAGTGTTAAAATGAATAAATAACACAATGAAGACACAAGCATTTCTTTATTAACGTTTGTTTATGATGATAGGACCTACGACAGTCCTAATGAAATACGGGAATACATGAAATAGGTAACATGGAAGCGGGCATGGAAAGCGCCACGCCAATAATTTCTATAAGCGCCACTCTCAAATAAGTGCCGCACTGAAGCCTCCAAAAATTTTATACTGTAACTGCCACGGCACTTATTTGAGCATTACGGTACAATATGACCAATACCTGAGATGTACCCATATGGATGCGACATGAAACCAACATGCCCATATATGGGCAGATCACTCTTGTCACTGAAAATTTGATAGTGTGGACACAGATTAAAATGTATGGTGCTTAACCTTTGTTCACACACTCCAATTTACATTTAAGATTTTGAACCTCATCAGCATCCAGCAGGTTAATTTCCGTTCACAGGTGTTTACATAAAGCCCTTCTCAATTAACAGTGTCACGATGAAGACAATCCACATTACCCAATTATTTATCAATGAATATGCGGGTGTGTTCCCTTATCAAGTGGCATGTGGCAGTAATACATTAAGTTGGCAACAGCAAAAGTTAAGGTGGTGACATATTTCTTTCATTCATATATTTCTTAGTTACAATCTTACATCTTTCTAAGACTATTTTAACATGCTTACTTATTTAAAACAGAAATGTTGATATAGTATTGTACTCTAGCTTGATGGTTAAGATGCTTGCCTATTAATCACAGGGTCTTGGGTTCAATTCCTGTCAAAAGGAGTTGTTTTATGACAAAAACAACACCACTCCTTATTAAGCCTCATAATAATGATTTAGTTTTGTACAGCATCATATGTTACTAAAGCCCCTCTCCCACCTAGGTTTATTTCACCTAAGAGTCGTACGATTTCTACGAGTTAAAACTTGTGATCTTTGGAAAGGACCTATACGAACTTATTACGTATTAGCTACGAGTGAGGTACGACTTTATGGAGTTGGTTACGAGTTATGTAGGAATTATGCCGAGCCTGTCTCTTATACACATCTAGATGTGTATAAGAGACAGCAATTATTTATCAATGAATATGCGGGTGTGTTCCCTTATCAAGTGGCATGTGGCAGTAATACATTAAGTTGGCAACAGCAAAAGTTAAGGTGGTGACATATTTCTTTCATTCATATATTTCTTAGTTACAATCTTACATCTTTCTAAGTCTATTTTAACATGCTTACTTATTTAAAACAGAAATGTTGATATAGTATTGTACTCCAGCTTGATGGTTAAGATGCTTGCCTATTAATCACAGGGTCCTGGGTTCAATTCCTGTCAAAAGGGGTTTTTTTATGACAAAAATAATACCACTCCTTATTAAGCCTCATTATAATGATTTAGTTTTGTACAGCATCATATGTTACTTACTGTAGTGTAAGGTTGGCAATCTTTGGTCTAAATGCCTAATTTTTATAAATAAAACAATATTTGCTTCAACTGATGTCAATCCCCATGTGTTTTTTTAATTGAATTAAAATAATATATGCTTAAGCAATTAATAATCACCTACCACCTCACTTTGCAGCTATCTCCCCTCACATTATCATCGAGATCCCCCTCCCAATGTTCCTACCCATTAGCCGCATGTCAATGTTTCTAGATATGCAAACTGAGTATAAGGGACTTAAAATATGGTTTCATAATTACTTTTAATACATGATAACTGTATAATTAATATTTAAACAACTTCCTAATGTACAAGCATCAATATTTTATTATATTTAAACATTTTTTATTTATTTCCAGGTGCAAACAATAAAACATAGAGTAACATGAAACTCTTCACACATGAAATACAGTAACATCAAAACATGTCAATATTTAGAAACATTGATGATGATAAAGTGAAGGGAGCTAGCTGCAAAGTGATGTCATAGGTAATTATCAATATGAAGCTTTCCATTGCAAAATGACAGAAGGATGTAGAACGTAATGACATCACAAGAAATCATTTGCGCATGCGTGAACGTTAAGTTCTCCTTGTCGCGTGAATTCTAGGATGCAATTTGGACAAATGTACGTATGCAGGTAACGCAGGATGGCCGGTAGGCATGAGTGATTCCATTCTAGCGCCGCATCGTTGAACAACTCAACAGCTCGCTAACAAAGCAATTTCAAAGTGGCAAAATCCATGAGATACCATCAGCTGTATACCATAATGACACCCTGAAAAACATTCACTGCTAAGAAAGTTGATGTTGATTTAATACACTCACCACTTCTTGTGAGGAATCAGCATGTTCCGATGTCACATGTTCCTGTAGAGTGGTCTCTGTAAACCCCATCTTACCACAGTAGGGACACGTGAAGGCCTGCGTCTGCTCCAATGATATTGATTCCCCTCCGTAATATATATCTGCAAATGAAACATAAAACATTGTATCATCGTCAAAATCAACATCACAGAGCAATACTTAATGTCTAGTCTCGAAGGTTCCCTAGAACGATGAAGCTACTTCGAGGAGCTCTGGTTTAATGAGCTTTCTTAACACATATAACTGTATTTTATTATGTGTGTATTATATTGTATTTGGTATTGTATTTAAAACAATGTTTAAATGTATTTTGCTACACATGATAATACTGTACATATGGCCAGTAAGTTTCAGGGAGATAATCTATACAGTGGGAAGACAAGTCAACTTTCTGATTTTTTGAGAGGCAAGTCAGTTCCCTGTTTAGATCCACCAAAGTTGGAATCCCTACACCTACTACATTAATTGATATCCTTGAATGGGTCTACTGTAGGTAATACCTTATAAAAAAGTAATAATAATGACCATTCAACAAAAAATAATTAATAATTATTGTTACTTTATTATCATTATCATATAGTTCATTCTGATATTAAGATAAAAATGAGCAATAACAACAATACAATATATAAATAATAATAATAATAATAATAATAATAATAATAATAATAATAATAATAATAAAGAATATTCCCAGTAATACATTCTGGAAAGACGAACGTAAATGGAATGGCTTGCCCAATGACACAAGGATAGGATGGAATTCAAACTACTGTACTACCACTACCGTAAACGTATTCAAAAGAAAACATGTTAAAGACTCCAATAACGGCGGTAACGTACTGTACTAACAACTAGTTCAAACATGTAACTAGTAAGCTATGAAGAGCCTGTATTTAATCGTGGTCTTATAATCCATTGGAATTATGAAAGTAAAATATAATCACACTGTCGGACATAAATTTTGGCTTTCAGTCAAATTCACAAATCACATTATCCCTTATTAAGTATGTTGTATTTTGATTTATTACTTTACATTTCATGTATTGCACATTCTGCATGGTTGATTCTGTATCCAATAACCAGAGGCAAAACAACCTTCTTCATAAATTTGCCCTCTCTACTAAAAGATCCTAATTTACAGTATTATTATGTAGCCAGCTACCTTTTTGTTTCTCTCATAGTGCCTTATAATTATGAAAAAACAAAAGCACCCAAAAGATAAATGGCTGAGTGACAAAAGATAAAACATTATACAATTATTACAATATAAAAAATAAGATTGTTCAAAATCAAATTAATTACAGATTTTCAGAATTCCAATATACAGGATTAACCTCCATAAAATACAAAAAGCATGCAACAACATAAGAGAAAGCAGAATAATGATGAATAAAAATAAGAGCTAATTTTCCCACCAAGGAAATAAGTGCTCTGTTAACTGTGGTTTTAAAGCTGCACTCACTCAGACATATTAATAGGTCCATGGACTAACAAAGGTTATCATAGTGTTCTGGACTTTACAACATGAAAAGAGCGTTGGTACAAGGAAGTGTGAACAGAAACAATGAAGACCTTGATATGATCACAATAATTTAGTGTGAAAGGAGTATGAAGATTAAATGGAAACATATGGTAAAATTAGCATGAAGTGAACATAACTTTGGAAACACTCCTCCTGATGATAGAGGGGGCTATTCCACACAGAATGTTGTTGTTTTTTTGTTTTTTTTTCTGGAGAAGCATTAAAACTTTTATAATCCATACACCACTTTTTCTTATTTCAGGATGTATTTGAACCAATAATATATAACAACATACTGTAATGAGCATAAATAGTTTTTTTGAGAAATTATATCTGAATTTAAACCTAAAACCATCCAATAATAAATAACAATAATTTATACTTACATAATAAAACATAATAATACGACCTAATTAAAAACTGAACTTACCGAAATCAGACCTGGTCAATATGCACTGCATTGGGTGTTCAGCTGTGTGTCTTGGGGTTGTAGCACCGTTCTCATAGCAGCTTGCACATAGATCATAATCATAACAGATAAGACATTTGTAGCGCCTACCACGAAAATTACTTTTCATGCAAGAATCACAGCTGACACCTGTAAAAGAAAAATGTAAATGTTACTGTTTATATAATTATAATAATTTTTATTTTAATAATAAAATAAATCTAATTTACATTTAAGGTGCTTCTGCAAAAGGTCAAAGCTATTAGACACAATTTTGCAAGGAGGCCACTAGGCATGATACAATACAATAGTACAGTACTATAGTATTACATAGACAATTTTTCAGCATGTTTGTTATTTCCAGAAATGGCATAGTGTAAAAATAATTATAACATACAATAAATACATTGGGGCATTACTGTACATTATGATTGTGTTTGTGTTCCTGTACATTGATTTCAATAAGTTTTGAAATGTTTTTAACATTTTTTTAATGTCATTTACTGTACATGAAATTGTGTCACATAAAAAATGCAAGGATGAGACTAGTGCAATATACTGTAGTTATATTACAGTACAAAACACTAAATGGAGTACCTACTACAGTACATAAAACTGAAATTGTTAAACACTATGAAATGTAATGGGACATGCTAACTGTACACCATGTTAATGTACACAACATTATAATAAATAAATATTTAAATCGCCATGATATTCTTCCTAACAACTCCCTCTTTACGGTTTGGGTAAAGTCAGCTCCATTAATTCAACAAATCAAGATTTGCATAAACATGTCGGAACAATATTCACAGCATAATTAAATAGCTCAAGTGATTTGCCACATTCACTTAAACTCTTCCAAATATTAATAAGCCTATCTCTCACTTTCGGTTACAACATAGCCTCCGCCTTCAAAATTGTGCGCAACCCGTATAATTCATATCCTACTCAATAAAGTAACATCTTCCTTGAAGGTAAAATCACAAATGAATATGTGTCTGTATACATTAAATCGTAACACATTATGTAGTTGTAGGTCCTAGTGCATGTAGCTGCTAGCAAAGCAGCACTTATATAGCTATAATGATTTATCAATATCATCATCTTTCCAAGCACTCCATTATTAGATTTATCAGACACTACTAATAATTTTGCACTGAACATTTGCCAAATTATAATTAACGGTGAAAGGTAAGAGAGCCAACTGACTTTTCCAAATACAGATACAACATAATATTTATCTAAACAATGCACGCATTGTAAACGAATGCTAGGCCCTCCCTAAAAGCAGTAGAGGCCATGCTAAGGTATTTCTGCTCGAGCTTTCATCCTACTCCAATGCGTTCGCAAGGGCTGTATGGGACTCGGAATCGTTCAACTTACCTTCATGTCGAGACATTATAGGTGAATAAATATGGGTGACGGGCGGTCCAAAACCGGCTTTCGTACCTAAAGATACAATTTCTTGTTTGCATTAATATGTCGTTTTATTATAAAATGATGAATTATCAATTATTTATTATCTTCCGGGATAATACGCCTTTTGAAAAATATCCCTATCCTAGCTCACAACTCAGCTCGTTTTTTCGGTGTGTATACCGCCACCTAACGTTAGGTATGACGTCATGATGTCAGAGGTCATCTGGATTCGTAAACTTTGAACCTCATGAACGGCACGTGGGTCAGTCCAGGTCAACAACAAAAACATACAATCCGCCAACCGGCGTTTTTGCAAGAATTCAATCGTCCGATCCGATTTGTTAGGTGTAGGCCCTATTTCTGGTTGATGTAGTTCAGAGAAAATACACGTATTTTAAATGGCAAGCCAAAAGGTTCTTATTTATGGTGGAAAAGGAGCACTTGGATCCGTTCTTGTAAATTATTTCAAGTCTAAAAATTGGGTAAGCCTATATATGATGATGATTTGATTTTTTCAGCAATACTGCAGGCATTATTGATAATTGGCGGGCAAAGAAAAGCACTGTGATGTGACAATACTAGGTCTACGGCTGTTGCTGTACTATAATATTATTATAATTGGATTTTAACAGGGACATTATTTTATTAATATGATTAAAAAGTGTAGCCGCGTTTTTTAGTTTGCCTAATAATACAAGAAATGACAACAGCACTTTTTTTAAGACTAACTTCTATATAAAATTTATTCTCTAGCTGGAGATAGGGCTAGGCTAGTCTTCTTAAAGTGTTTTGTCATTTCTTATATTGTTTTTATTAATATTAATTAATTTTTTTTCAGTGGGTTGCATCTTTGGATTTGGTACAGAATGAGGAAGCACATGCGAATATCACCATAAAAAATGTAGCATCATGGACAGAACAAGAACAAGAAATAATAACTGCAGTTGAAGAGACATTGAAAGGAGAAAAACTTGACGCAATCTTGTGTGTGGCAGGAGGATGGGCTGGAGGGAATGCTGCCTCCAAAGGTACATCAGTGAGTGTGTGCAAGCTGAGCTAATAATAATACAATTAAAAAATCATTGTTGTTTAGCAAAATACATACATATATATATATATATATATATATATAATAAAAATAATATAATATATATTAATAAAAACAGTGCTAGAGTACTGTAGTCTGGAACATATGTAACCTAATTTCAATATTATGCCATAATATACATATATTATATAATATATACATATAATAACTATATACATATACTTTGATTATTATAATAATATATATATGTATGTATAACTATGTGTTGGTGATGATCAAAATATATCCTAGTAGCCATGTATGCTTCAGTATGTTTTTTTTCTTTTTTATTTACTTATTTTATTTAACCATATTTGTGACAAACAAATTAAGGGGCCTAATCCGGACGAGAAACATAGCTTTTATGTCCTAAAATAGTTTTTTACTTGCCTTTCAGACTTAGTAAAGAACTGTGATTTGATGTGGAAACAGAGTGTGTGGTCTTCAGTTCTTGCTGCTGAAATCGCATCCAAACACCTCAAAGATGGTGGTCTGTTGCAGCTCACAGGAGCTCAACCTGCCCTCAACGGAACTGCTGGTGAGTACATTCAACCGTCTTTCAGCCAGCCCTCCATTTTTGCATGATAAATTAGAGTGACAATTTTTTACTATCTTACCGGCTTTTTTTTAGCAAAATTTATGTGTACCAGTATTTTTAATAAATTCAACACATTCATTACATTTACTTACAGCATGCTCATGTGCTCCTAAAAATAAAGAACAAAAGGTTGAAATGTTTATTGAAAGTGGTATATTGCATCACTTTCACATGGTTTTTTTGCATTCTGTTTTCATATTGTGTTCTTCAAGTAAAAAAGTTCTTACTGTGTGTATGTGTTTTGTAAACTTCCATTGACTAAATTTAGGAGCAAACTCAAGATGATGATGATGATAATTGGCAGAGTACATGAAATTATATTTCATTATATAAAATAATATAAATCATATATATAATACTTTTTTTCAGGTATGTTAGGTTATGGTATGGCTAAGGCTGCAGTACACCAGTTTGTGAAGGGCCTGGGCTCAGCAAACAGTGGGCTACCAGCAAAATCAACGGCCCTTGCAATCCTGCCGTAAGTACCATTAAAACAACTGTAATACATGACCTAATAAACTGCTTACTCACTGTGAATTAAACACTTAGCTACATGGTTAAATTATAGAGGGCAGTCTTACAGTTGTATTGTGCACTAAATCCTATTTGCTAATAAATTTAGTCTCTGCAAATGAGTTTTTTTTTATGCATTGCTTTCAGAGATTCAGGGTTGAATAATGATGGTCATGGTGACATATCACATCATGACCACATATAGGTACATAATGGCATACAACAGTTTGTTGTCTAAGAAAATTTGACTGTGTTGACAAAGCTTAAACATTAAGATAAAACATAAAGCTATTCCTTTATTTTTTTTTACATAAAACCATTTAATTGGTTGGCAATAGGATTTTTGTAGTAAAAATGTTGTAAAGCATCAAAATATCAATTATTTTCATCTGCTTCTCATTGAAAGTAGACACATTAATTTCAGCCATTTTAATGATGTATTGTCCCCTGAAAATGAAAAAGTATCATAAAAAATAATTTTGTTCATTTTTGCAGTAACATACAAATTGTAATTTGGGCATAGAAATTATTGAATTTAAAAATGTGTACCCTGATCTTTATACTGGATAATGATGAAAAATAATAAAAACACTTTCAGTGACTGAGGTGTTTCTATTATTTTTCACTTTATGGAAACATTTTTAAATACACTAATTTCAGTGTTCAAGTTGATAATGTTTATGTTATTTCAAAAGAGCAATTTAATTTCAAAAATGGTTTTTATGAATTTTTAGGTATCTTTCATGGGACAATACAATATACATCTTTTTGATTCGATTATGTAAATTTGAAGTTTGTTTCATTCGATTATATTGCTAGTGCTCAAAGGACAACCCTCAAGAATCAGTGTTAAATATATATTTAATTGAAAGATAAATGTTATTTTTTTTTTTTTCATTTTTGGTAACATCAGGGTTACTCTTGACACCCCAAATAATCGTAAGTGGATGGCAAACGCAGACTTTACATCATGGACAACCTTGGAGTACGTGGCCGAGTAAGTGCCCATTTTAACATCTTAGTTTTTAATGCTAATTGACAATACGCAAATAGTCAATACAATTTGGCGGTTCAAATCCTAGTATTCCACTCCAGACAGCTCTACCTCCTAAGAAGTTAAGCCTCATACTGTAATTACAGTATGTCCTTTTACATACTAAAAAATTATCTCAAATTTATATTAAATAAATATTATTATTATTATTATTATTAGTATTATTATTATTTATTATTTATATTTATATTTTATTTATATTATTTATTTATATCAAATTTATTTAACTTTCTATGCTCCCAAGAAGCATAAGATCATAGAGCTGTAGGCCTATGCAGCATACAAATGATACATTCAATGCCACATCTTACGAGGTACCCATATACTGTATACTGTACTCCTAGGTGGAGAGAGTCAAACATAGGAAAAGTGTCTTGCCCAAGGACACCAGCAAAATATATTATATAATCTACTCCAACCTGTGTTGAGACCCAGCCATTAAATATATATTTTACAAAAGTAATGAATACTTCGGATAAAGTGCTCAATATTCCCATATTTAATGTAATGCAGTAATAAAATTTAATTCACTTTCAAATTAAAGATAATTTTAATTTCTCTAGGCAGAATTTTAAACTAAATTAAAAGTTTATAATGATGTAAAATACAAACAGTAGTTATTGCAAGCAAGCCAAGCATTGAAGTGAAGGTCAGTCATGCAGTTTTATTAAATAAATCTTTTTGTTGTACATTTCCAGCTTGCTGCATCAGTGGTCAACAGGGCAGAACCGTCCTGACAGTGGTAGTCTTGTTCAGCTTGTCACAAAGGACAGCAAAACTGAACAAATCATATGCTAAGCGGACAGCGATCATTGCATACAAGAAAGATCTTCGCCAAACTGAAATTCAGGGACATTCATGCAAATAATTTATTTCTTTGCCAATTATCTTCCCTTCTTTGTATTTCACTTTAAAAAGTGTACTTTTTTAGTTTTAATGTACGTAGATTTGATCAAGCCAAAATTATTTGTTTTAGCCTTTCATTAAATATTGTAACAAGCACAAACTTATATAATTTTTACTTTGTAGATTTTTAAAGTTACATCATTCAGGTCAATCATGACTGTGTTTACTCCATTACCATTCCCATGGAATCAGATAATATCCGTATGATGACCTTATGTAATGTTGCTATGGGAACAGTTTATTTAGATGTTAGTTGCTTGAGTAGTTTTCATTTATAGCGTTTAAATTAGACTCAGTTATTATTAGGTAGGTGGCAGGGCTTCATCAATACAACTTAACTTTAATGACTACTAACTAATAATGATTTCAGTTTTATTTTGACTGATTATATTTACTATTCTTGGGACAGAATTTGGGATTCTGATGCATTTTGTTTACTGTTATTTGTTCTTGAAAAATAAACCCTGACAGAAACCAAATACATATTAGTGTGTTTTACATGATTTGTTAACCTTAAATGTTATTCAAGTAACTAATATATAAAAGCAGATCATTCCACATGCGACATCATTACTGACCAAATAAATAAGATTTGATTAGTGTGAGACCAACATGAATAGAAGAACTGTGCAACATTTTTTTTAAGTTGAGAAAGTCATGTGTGTTAAGGTGATCATATATTGTGTAGACTTCATTATTCACCACAAAAATGCTGTGTACATTAATAAGTGTTGTATCAGTTAAATTTCTACTGCATTAAAGATATGGGCCTACAGTAGATACATCTGTTATGCATTACTGAAATTATGATCATGAAGCAACAAAGATATACTTAAAATATTGAAACAAGAAACTTTAGTTAGAATTTTTTCTAAGTTTTAATATGGAATCAATCCTCCAGCAACCAAAGAAAAACCTGCCAGGTAAAAAAACAGAAAATTCAAATATGTAATAAATACTTTTTTTAAAAACCAACAATAAGTTTAACTACTAATACTGTATTTCTATGCAGGTCATAGTTCATGCAAAGTATAAACAAGGCGATGGGATCTGGCTTACTATTTTACACTACTAAAGAATCTGTACAACTTACACAATATACATGTATATATAGATATGTATATATAGCTTTAATAATTTACTTAAGTTCTGAATACATAACAATTATTTAAAAAGGTTACAAATGTCCATATATGGATTATTAAAACTTTTCACTACCATACATAATTAAATTTATGTACAATGTGCAAAATCGCAAATGAGAGTCTAGCAAAATATATTTAAAACATATATGTGTGACCATACTGACTCATGGATATTAAAGGTATACACAACAAAACATTGTTCAAAACAAAACTGAAGAAATTAAGTACCTCATAATTAATACTAATTATTATTAATAATTAGTGCTGGTAAATGCACCAGAAATTGTTAATCATTAAATCAGTTTGCTCAATAACAGTGGCTTGTCCAGGAATATTTGACAAGGGGAAGCTGGGGTGGGGGAAGCTGGATCAAGTAAGGGGAGCCAGCCAGCAAAAATGTTTTGTAAATACTTCAGAGTAATTTTTTGCTCAATAATGTTCTAGTGGGGGTGTTGCCAAAGATACATCACTGTGGATACACTTCATAATATTGTAATAATAAAAAAAACAGCATGCCTAGGCAATAGACAAGAGATCAGAGCAATAGAGGCAGGGGTGGAGCCACATTTTCCCCCAACAGGTGGTCCATCATAACAATAATAATAATAATAATCATAATAATCAAAAACTTAAATTGCCTTTAGAGTTTGTTGTATATATATGTTTTCAAAATTAACCAAAGGGAAGAGGCAGTGAAAGAAAATGTGTGCTGGCCATGTCTGTCAGTATTTGTAGTTTGCACTTGAATACAGGACATAAAATCACTCTTGTAAACAGGTCTCCCTCTAATTAAAGACCACTTTTCTGTGGTCTTATATTAATAAAAAATCTTTATTATTCTAATTTGAGACCAATGTTGCTGAAGAACATGGAAGCCAATTGGAGGGAGACCTATATTGTAAAACCCCTTGAATATTTTTATACAAGAGTAGCTTTTGACAAGCAACTCATTAAAAATAAAATAATTAATCAAATACATTGTTTACTCTTGATTGCAAAACACCAAGACAGATCCATTTTGTATGTTTTCTAATTGTAAGGTAGTAAAAGACTTAATGGAAGAGGACTTGTATTTGAATTTCAATGGGAAAATATATTTTTCTCAAAATATTTATTTAATAACTTTCTTAAAATGAAATATGTAACAACATATTGTAAAACTTTGAATTGAAGCCCTGGGCTTCTTTTTTTATGCAAACTTTGGAGATTCTTTTGGAGGCTAATTTTAATTTTGGAGATTAAGCCCTTTGTGCTTTAATTCAAGGTTTTACGGTAGGTAGTCAACATCTTGAATGAGTTCACATAACTTCTGCTATTGTTATAACATTACAAATGGTTTACAATATTTGAGTTTCCATTATAAATAAACATCATACAAAACGTTCAAATACGTTTCTAGCTGTATAAATTGAGTACAGTTTAGAAGTCATCTAGCAAGTGATATTCTAGTTGTAGATGTGCATAACACATAACTTGGGGATTTACAAAGCACTTCATTATACAGTATAAATAGATTTTGATGAAAGCAATAACATATCAAAGTGGATATTCTCTCCTAAGACCACACCTAGAAACGGCATGCAGATTCTTTTTTCAAAACTGGGAACAAAGAAAACCTTCAACACTTCTAATATCAAAAGTTAAAGAAGTTTAAACTTCACTATTTCAGCCTCTTTCATTGATGGTACAAGATATTTCATATTACCTTGTAATAAAATGATTATATCAAAGTGGATACTCTCTCCTAAGACCACACCTCGAAATGGCATGCAAATTCTTTTTAAAAACAGGAACCAAGGAAAACCTTCAACACTTCTAATGTTACATCAAAAGTGAAAGTAGTTTAAACTTAACTATTTCAGCTTCTTTCATTGATGGTACAAGATATTTCATATTACCTTGTATAAACAAAATGATTACAAATTAATATAAAGTTATGTTACTTTTTCTTCTAAATATTATATAAATGCAATCAAATAGCATATTTAAGTTTCCGCACTTAAATATTGTATCAAGGTTTGGCTTTGAGATTGTGCCGAAGAATGTGGTGATGCCCTATCAAATTCTATTATTTGAACAAATTTGAAATTTCCCAGAGAAATCGGGGGTAAATTCCCTAACCATCATTGCACTTGTATGCAACATCGTCACATATCCATTTAAACAAATTAAAAAACAAGATCATTATTTCATGTATTACCAATATACATACATATATTTCACTATTTTTTCTTTAACAATATTGTGAGTATATACATATTCACTATGTTCAGACTTAATAGGTACAAAAAGTAATGGAATACGTAAAGCAAAAATACTTAGTTTGGTCAAGTACAGTACATAGTTATGGGAGTAAAAAGCTGTCTTGATTTTATTTTTTTTTTGGTTGGCCTGTTACAAATGTTTCTTAACATGCTTGTTTCTTTAATGCATTTGTGTGTTCATGACACAGTTGTTTCCATATATGGTTGTCTATTAGATATTTGTTACCCTGTGCCCATGACACGCTTGTTTCTGTACTTGTGCCTATTACAGTGATGGATGCAAGCAGGAGCCCGGCCGGCTCAAGGCCCCACTAACTCTTCGAAACAAAAAAATGGAGAGAAAAAGTGAATTTATAAATTCTATATTTTAACTCTGAGAGTGCCAATTCCAGCCTTCAAGAGGTACCATAATCATACATTTTCTTACCTCAGCCCCAACCATGGTAAGGCTAAAGTGATCTAGACCCTCAGTCTGTGAAAGGTCTTCCTTGGGGGGAGGGGGGCACTCAATTTAAAATTCCTGGATCCGCCACTGCATTACATGCTTTTTACTTAATAACTGTGTCCATTACACACTTGACATGCTTGTTTCTGTATATGTGTTCATTACATGCTTGTTTCTATATTTGTGTGCCCATAACAAGCTTGTTTCTGTATTTATGAGGTCGTTATATATTTGTTTCTTCATTTGTGTGTCCATACATACTTGTTTTCTTCTATTGTGTGTCGATTACATGCCTGTTTCTTCATTTGTGTGTCTATTACAAGCTTGTTTCTGTATTTGTGTGTCCATTACATGCTTGTTTCTGTATTTGTGTGTTCATTACATGCTTGTTTTCTTCAATTGTGTGTCTATTATATGCTTGTTTTCTTCTATTTGTGTCCATTACATGCTTGTTTCTTCACTGTTGTGTCCATTACAAGCTTGTTTCTGTATTTGTGTGTCCCATTAAATGCTTGTTTCTGTATTTGTGTGTACATTACAAGCTTGTTTCTGTATTTGTGTGTCCCATTAAATGCTTGTTTCTGTATTTGTGTGTCCATTACATGCTTGTTTCTGTATTTATGTGTCTATTACATGCTTGTTTCTGAATTTGTGTGTCCATTAAATACTTGTTTCTTCATTTGTGCCTATTACAAGCTTGTTTCTGTATGTGTGTCCATTAAATGCTTGTTTCTGTATTTGTGTGTCCATTAAATGCTTGTTTCTGTATTTGTGTGTCCATTACATGCTTGTTTTCTTGGAATTTTGTATCCCATACATGCTTAAAAATATATTTATGTGTCAAGTATATGCTTGATTTCTTGACATGTGTATGCATTTCACTTTATTAGAGTGTCCATTAAACACTTGTTTCTTTATTTGTGTGTCCATTACTTTTCAAGCTAAAGCCATTCACTTCTTTTGTGATCATAAATACTTCTTCACCCGTCTTCTCTTTTGCAGGTTCAGTTTCGACAATGTTTCCACCTAATTTATGATCATCTGTTTCAACAAGATGCTTAGAAAGAGGATGCATCTCCTGCACGGTGGCATTAGAACTGTAACTACTGATGCCATATCCAGATGTGCCGACATCTGGTGTTGTAGCCTTGGAGCTCCGTTGTCCAAGACTTTCTCTTGATGTATTTCTCTGCACTGCCGCCTTTTTAAAATCATCTCTAGAGGACTGCCTCTTAACGTGTCCTTCCTCTGGCCCAAGTGGGGACTTGCGTCTAACATGCGAAAGGTCCGAGTTAGAATGGATCATTTTTGGCAAGGAAGAGTGACCATTATGTCTAGCATATGCTTGAGGAAGCATGAAAGCATGACCAGATCTTTCTAAAGTGCTGGCATCACCAGTTGTGTAGTTGGCTCTTGCTTCCATCTCATCACGACTCTCTTCCAATGCTGACATGCGACTCTCTGGTGCACTGGAAAGGCTGTCATGGAATCCACCCCACACGATCTGCTGCTGTTGTTGTGCATGATCATGTGCATTATCTGATGAATCACGTGAAAGTTGTGAATACCGTGCATATTTGTAATGTTTCGGCCTTGAACGTTTCTGATGAAGTTGGTACCTATTGTACAATTGGCCGTTACTACGCATATCTGGACCTGTGAGGATTGGCGTCTCTCGCACACTATTGTCTTCTTGCAATGACATATCTGTTATTGTATGTGCCGGGACATAATTACACTTTGACGTGGTCCTTCGTGATCCCGACTTAAAAGATGGATTATTTGTGTTACTTGAACGGTTTGTAAAAGTTGAGTCCAAACTACTTGTGGACTGCCTGCGACAAACACCATTAGCATTTCCATTGGCAGTCACAGACGACAACATGGCCATTTGTGGATCGAAGGCCCGCCGCTTTTGACATCCAAATGCAACTTTCCAACAATACTTAACGTCATTGCGCATAAAACAGAAGAAAATTATTATATACAGACCAAGTATGATCACCATTAGTCCATTTACATAGCTAAAAATAGAATAGAAAAACCCTTTCTGGCTTATTGCAAGGGCGCCAGATACCCAAGTCAAAATGTACAAAAACAGCAGCAGGACCATCCCTCGTAATTGTTTTTGATATGAGTGTTCGTGATCCAAAACGCTTGATATGACAGACGCGGCTGTTGTGTGGTGCGTTGCAATAGATTCAGAGTCGTTGAGAAATGGTTGCTCTGTTTCTACAGTGCGCACACTGTCTTTAGTTTGCGAGATCTGCTCAGATGTTGTTGTGATTTGTGTCTGATCAGGTGTGAAATGCAGAGAAGGGATACGTGCGTCATATTTATGCGACGATGGCAAGCGCTGTATCCGGAGAGACGCCATAATGATAAAGACAAACTGAACAAGAAGAATGAATACAACTACGAAAGAGAACGCCAGTAAGCTGACCTTGAATTTGAGCCAACAACTGAAAGACAGAAATCAGACAAAATATATTCATTATTGTATAAACTAAAAGGACTGTTTCTTCTTATGATAATTTTTTTTCATTTTGTGGAAAAATAAATAAATAATAAATGAGAATGAGAAATATACCTAAATGAAACGAAGCAGTTGACATCAATATTCACGATAAATTAACATACTATTCAGCCTAAAGGTACAATGGTAATAGCATACAATATTTATAAAGTGAAAAAAAACAATGAACTTACACATCTGGTCCGCCATAGTTCTCTAAATTGACTGCAGCCGTAATGCCAACCACAATAATGGGGATTCCTACAATACAGCAAAAAAATGAGAACTTTTAAAATGCAGTCAGGAATTTAAATTTTGGTTAGATTTTACGAAAATCGCAATGCTTATAAATACATTATATAACAATGTTCTTTTATTGGGATCAGTATTTTATCTGCTGCTAGTATTTTTTATGCTTTTTAGTTAGAAGATTCAAAATTATTCTTATGAATGTGTTTAAGTTTATAAGGGCCTTTGGCGGTAAGTTGTCATAATGTTTCTGTGAGAATACTCAGATTATTACCAGCAGAATGATGACGGTTTGAATGTTCTTACCAAAATATTAATACAACTAATTCTGCATCACTGTAATTAATGTTTTGCTTTCAAGCAGGTCCTAATTTAATTCTTTCCATTTCCCATATGACATGCTTTTTCTTTCAGCTTATTCTTTTCTTTAATGCCATCAAGCATCATGCTTGTTTCTTCCCTGAGGGCGCTTTAAACATGTGGTGAATCACATAACATTAAATTAGGTATTGAGTAATCTCTCTATAAGGGATATATAAATCAAAATAAATGTCAATGGTGAACTTTGAACTTCTTTTAAAGATGTACAGTACTGATTGAGATATAACCCAGGAAACCCCAAAATTTACTTAAAGCCAGCTCCAGAGGAAAAATTTTTTTTGCAATGTTGTAGAACTGATTTTTCTAAGACAAAAAAAGCATATTTGACAAAAAACGTGGAAGAGGTTAATGAGATACAGATTTTCGAATATTTGAAAACTGGAAGGAAAAAGGGGCGTAACTACCTTTTTCTCAATCAATACAAAGAATATGTAATATTTATTTTTCATTATTGTAAAATGATTGCATGACTTACCCCAGCCTATGAAGTAGAATCTAATGATGGGCCTAGGTGGGAGGGGATTTTCCCCCAGTGTTACCATTCTACGCTTTCTACTGAGTGATTTCATAATGTTTCTGATCGATATACCAATCCAGAGCAGAGTGCCGATGGTGGTATAGTGCAGTCCGATTCCAACAATCTGACAGACAAGGGGCGTGGCACTGCGGTTGATACCGCCAGCAAAGAAGATTAGGAGGAGGAGGATCCCGAGTGAGATGTTGATGACAGCGTGCAGACATCGCTTCTTCATTCGGATCTTGCTGCAATGATACAAAAATAATAAAGCTTTTAAGTAAATAATTGAATAAAATTTAATAAAAATATTAAATATTTTAAAAAAATTACATAATTGTTTTTGATAAATAAAATGAACATTGTAGTAGTGATCATCATTATATCTGTTTTCTGTCTACTGGCAAGTTCACAGCAGTTAATTTCATCAATTTGCTCTGGTTATATGACCTACGTTTCAAGATGCCATAGCTTTCATTTGTTTCCTTCAGGTATCTAACAACCTTTCTCTTTTACTTCCTCGAGTAGTGATTACTTTGCCAATATCAGCAGAGGAAGCAAGCTCAGTGTTCACACCGAATAAATCAAAATCGAAATCCAACTTGCATCTATTTTAGGACTTACATATACATGCCAAGACTTGAACTGTTGTCTGAATACTAAGATATCGTTTGGGTTGAAAATATTTTGTGTAGGAAATGCAAAGATGATAACAGGTAAGTGAATCTTTGAACGCTCGTAGCGTCATCATGATAAAAAAAAATAAATATGAGTCGTCTGAATCTAAGGTCATAAATTTGGACCTGCTGGCCAGTTAAACTTACCTGCAGAAGATGATGTAGGTGATGAGATTGAAAAGGACGAGAAGAAAGCAGATGAAGCTGCCCAGGTAGATGGCAGGATGAAGAAACCCATCATTCCACCACATGGAATCAACAACATCTTTCACAGATACATCCTAAAATCAAACAAGAAATTACACATCTGTAACATACTGGTTTGAAAGTAGTTTATATCATACTAAGGAATTCCCAGTGCCAATCAAACTCAGTAACTGACCAATCAGAATGTGTTATTCAATAGGCAGGCTTACAATTATGCACATCCCACGAACATGCAGGTCAGTGGTGCTCGTAGGCTCGAGCTGGGAGAAGGGGTGTCAGACAGGGGGACTTGAGCTCGTAGGCTCGAGCTGGGAGAAGGGGCTGAGAGGGGGGTTCCCCTCCCAAATTAGATTTTTTTTAAGAATAGCAACCTCTGGATGGCTGGAAATGGCACTCTCAGACTGTGACAGACATGTGTTGGCTTGGTGTGGGCCTATTTATATGTTTTATGGTCTGACTGCCTGACGGGCTCTATTAGGCGTGGGGGCTTGACCTGTCCGGTGGGGGACTTAAGCCCCCTGTCCCCCGCTGGCACCGCCACTGATGCAGGTTTACTTTTACGACTACATGACTTAACTATCTTTTAATACAAATACAAAGAGCTGTTATATCAAATCTTAGTAGCAGTTAATTGAAAACAGATAAACAGAACTTTTAAAATTTACTGTCTGCTAAAATCTGAAAACCCCCTCAAACATTCAGTTAAAACATTAATATAAATTAATATATGATGAGCTGTACTAGTGCACACTTTTACAGAAGTGCACAGTGTACATAAACGCTAACGTTGTGAATAAATGTTTTCACTTGTTTTTGAGTGCTACCTGTTAATTTACTGAATAACATTCAAGTATAGTTTTTAAATTGACTTTCAGCCAATTTGAATGTCTATACCAAGTATTAAAAAAAAAAAAAAATTATGTAATAATTCGATCTACATGGCGCTTTCTGCCAAAGTCTCAAAGCGCTCGAGGTGTGGACTAGCTCGTACAATATACTTGCAGCTCCCCTGAGAGTCTCTTCGTGTCTGAGCTACCCGGAAAACCGGCACCAACTACCTCTCGTCTGTAGACAACAGGGGCTGTATGGACCAGTATACCGGGGCAACCCCTATTCCTCTCAAAAGATGTACTGGGTTCTGTTAAGTGAACATGAGCCAATTGTGTACATGGGCCTACAGTTTATAGTCCTGATCTGAGATGACTTGTTCCACCACTAGAACCATAGGCAAGTGCGCCCTTCCACCCAGTGCCCATGTTATAGCTGTAGGTTGCAGGGCCCGTCTTAACCACTCGGTCATTCGACTCGCCATAAATTTGTTAATTGGTGAGTAAAACTTCAATTATTAATTTATATATTCAATTGTGTTTTTTAAAACTAGTATATCTTTAAATTGACTGCTAGTCAAATTAAGACTAATAATTAGAAATGCTAGTGTTTATGTTCCTGTTTATTTGCAAGAAAAATAATTTTCTTTATTCAAAATACAAAATAAACAATTGAAATAAACCATTAGATTAGAATATATCTTCAGAACAAATTAATTTGATGAACCTACCAAGAGTACTGCATAATTTGTCATGTGGTTGCAATGCACAACACTTTGATTCTTCGTTGACTTCACAACACTGCAGCCTTCTGATGACCATGCCCCTTGAGATCCTAATGGAGATAAAATATCCCAGATATGACAATCTCTTCTAAGACTCTCATCAAATTGTTTTCAAAATATAGTACTTAAAAAACTAGCACTGTCATACAGGTCAGAGGTTTGAACTTCCCTGCAAATCATGTTTGTGTCCTTGGGCACGGCACTCTACTTTACCTATGATTATCTCTCTTCGCCCAGGAGTAGAAATTTGTACCTGGAGGGTCAATGCACTGATACTAGCTACATCAATGAATTCTCCTTCAAGGAACTGAGTAGGCCCTATATGTGTTGATCCAACTGCTATATTAGGTTTTTAATCTAATATTTGGGTTAATAATGTGAAATGCCTAGAGGCCTTGCTGGGCATGATATGCTATATACAGTAAAACCAGAATAATTACTGGACGGTAACAACAATTTTGCACTGACCAGGTCAGGGTAAAGAAGAATAGAAAATAATAAATTAAATTTAAATACCTAAAGCACTGAAATTCCAGTAAGCAGCTATGGGCTCAATGCCCTGCTTGGTATGAAATGTTAGCACCACAGGGTCACTCAAGTTGGATACCACGTGACCAGCTGAAATCAAATAATATAGTTTAGAATATTATAGATAAGATAGATAATATAAATAATATAATGATAGTATTAATGATTAATTTGAAGTATACTTCTTTGTTTCAAAGTAGAATTTTTCCTACAACATAGTTATGGTAGCAATTGCTAAAGAGAAGAGAAAAAAAACTACGGTAAACAAAACAACCGCCAAGCATTTGGCTATTTATTCACACATGAGTGTGATATCACATCATTCCCATATACGAGTGACAGCATCATGCTCATATAGAGCCAAATCACAAAAATTTGTCAAATAAAACAATAACAAAGAAGATGTGTGGGGCAGAGCTTTACTTAATGTAATCTTTGCAGCGATCTTGTCTATTAGGTATATTTGAACCCAAAACACTGTGATTGGTAGGCAAATATCTGCATCACCGAGCAACAGTACCACTACTTAAATCATCTTGAACCTGAAGTCATTAAATTTATAGTATAACATAAACATATATTAAAAATTTGGCTACATTTTCAGTTAAGTTTTCCTTACCAATTTTGCTTGATATTACGTAACTGCCAACAAACCTCGTACCAGCCTCATCACTAATCAGATTGCTACTGTTGCCTTGTGTTGGGAATAATCTACCATTACGATAAAAGAAGACGTATAGTGTGTATTTAGACTGGGAAATGTCAGCATTCCCTGCGGACAGTCCACGGAATATATTAGCAGGTAACTGTATAGCGGCTTCCACTTTCTGAAAAAAAAAAATATATATATAAAAAAATAACAACAATATAGCTATCACAAAAATTACAATAACTAAAACAACAATATTAATAACTTGTAGAAAAGAATTCATTTGAATAAAAATACATAGTATTAGTGTGTTTTTCTGTTCCAAAGAAAAAAGATGTTTTGATAGGTAAGATACACATTTTTTAATATAAAAAAAAACTAGATAGGATAGGAGGCAATGTCTTTGAATATTCATTTGTATAACATTTAAAAAAAAATTGTTTTCCTCCCAATTCTGGCTTTAATGCAAAACTGTAATAAATATTTATAATTGACAATATAACTGATGGTCATTCTCGTCAATTTGTAAACTATATTATATAGAACTTCACAATACTATAAATACTGGTATAACATACCTTTGTCTTGCCATTAAATTCCTTAACAGTTTTATTGGCAGTGTTACATAACATTTCAATATCTTCACCATAGGCCCTTGGAGCCTGCAGCTTGACAGCAACACATGTCATGCCCCAGAAACCTGGAGTTGTCACGTTGAACGATTTAAACAGGATATTTGATGAGGAGTGCTCTAGCGACTGCGTACTTGTGGAACTGGCAAACCTCTCCAGCGACAGCACAATCCTGTAGGAATAAGATGGGAGAAACATATGAGTTGGATCAGGATAGAAAGACATGGATGTTTCATTTTAATAAGGACTGTTAAAAAAAATGTAGAACAAATTTACATAAGTCACCTTTAATGGTGAGACAAATATATTTCACATATACGGTATCAACAGATCTTTACAGTAGTTTCTTTAAACTAATCCAATCAGTATTATTAATACGTTGCGTTTTCAATCAAGTTCATTGTTGGGCAAGGCTCTTTCTTTAATTTCTCTCTCTTCCTCCACAGGTATAATGGGTACTACCGTAGTTCATCAGGTAAAGTCCACCACCTTTAAACATGAAATTGGGCTGAGTTTGAGCTTATACCCGTGTAATCTCCTGTTCATTAAAAGGCTTTAAATTTATAGGGATGGCAAATCAAAAGGTAAATTTTATATATTCATAAAAGTTAGCTGAGCTACTATTAAAATCATACCATGGGCTTATTCTCGAGAAAATACAAGCAATGTGGTATGTGAATTAGGATGGAAGGTAGGAAATGGGCTTATACTGGAGGTGGGCATATACTCAAGGAACTACTATATTAGGACGTGAATGACATGGAAAGAAATCTGTCTAGTGCTGAATTAAAAATACTCCCCAGAGAATGGAGGAGGTTACGCATTGCGTGTGATTAATTTTGTGCCAATGACCAGACCATCATAAGCTTATACATTTCTATATTAATATGCTCTATGCAAGTCCCAACAATAAATCAAATTAATTAATATCATAGACGGCAGTCTATTCAGTAAGGGATTTAAACTGTATTATACCAATGCACTATTCAAATATCAGCGAGTATTATCAAATCTAGCATTAAGTAAGTATGTCAACTCGATCCGAAGTTCACATATAAATTGTTATCACCTGCACATTAAGCGCAGACTAGCAAACATTCAAAAAACGGGCATATATTCTAGACAGAAAATTCGATTGGAAAAGTAGAATATTGATATTTTTATTATTATGTATAAAGAGTCCATTCTCAATTCAGTCAATGTGTCTATTCCTTCCGTGCTTTCTGCATTATGTCGCTAAATTGATATCGCTATAAGTACGCTATTAGAAAAAAGAAATCATTCCTCCATTAATCATTAAATAGGAAAGGAAATTTAACAGTTTACGAAAAGATGAGGGAAGTCTTCAAAGGAAATGATGTGAATTTGTTTAACAACTGTATATATTGAAATGTCCACAGCATTGAATATGCAAGTCTTTATTCTACTAATATGAGGCCTCAGAGGTAGTGGGAAGACATTTCTTTAAATATACTTATTATACCCTTTTGGATAAATTCTATGAAAAACCTCAAACATTTAAATTAAGCATCTTAAATACCAATCTATAACTTACTACAGAAATAATGTTCATTAAAATTAATTTAAACTATATTATCTGAAGTTTCTATGAAATGTTTACAGTGGCAGATCAAATCCTATCGAGGAATTTGAAATAAGGGAGCCTATGGACAGACTCTCACAGATGGAGTGTCAAGATCACCTCAGCTCCACCAAGGTTAGTTCTGAGGGAAGAAAATTATGGCACCTGTAAATGGCCTTAAATGGCAATCTCAGACTTAAAAATTTGAATATAATTTTCTTTTTTCTCAATATCTTTTTAAATTTTCAAAACTTTAGGGAGAGGAGAAACTGTCCCCCTTGAATCCAAGACTGATATGACTGAGTGAATATGCCTTGCATTTTGGTACAATGTACAATGATGACAAGGCTTAACTCAACTCAGTCATATCTAATCACAACAGAGGTTCATTGACAGACATCAAAATCTTATGGGCATTGCATATATGACAGGTAAATCAATGCAGGTTGGCTCAACCTAAACCATGTGTATGCAAGTCAGGTGTTAGATTACCTATAATCATGCAAATGAGATATGCTAGCCAGGAGGCTAAATTTGTCCAAACCATACCCAGATGTTTGTTACATAAGTTTATTAACGTGAAATAGAATGTTATGGGTACTGCCAATAAAACAGATTCATTCAAAATAAATCTCATGGACCAATTTTGGTGACCAAAATGAGTCAGTCATCAGTTTATAGTCTGTTATTATTCCATGCAAGAATGGGTTAGACTGTACTTGTAATGAAGTGGTTGGCGCATCGGTTGTGGCTTGGACTCCCAACCTTGAGGTCAGGGGTTCGAAACTCTCGCACTTTATCTACGGCTGTCTCTCTCCACCCATCAAAACCAACCAAATTAATATCATTATAATTATTTTAAATAGTTTTCATTATTAAACAAATTTGAACATAGGATCTTCTGATTTTTAAGTTTTGAAAGGTAAAAATCTACTGGCAGATATGCAAATTATCTTTAATTATGCAAATAAGATATGTAAGCCAGGTGTCTAATTATACAAATGACTATGACCAAATCTAATAATACAGGAGTTTATGCCATGCCACGGCAAGATGTATGCCTTATTTAGAAAGTTTCAGAAAATTGTCTCTAGTGATCATGGTATGTACTAAAGCACATGTTTTAATTCTCCCCCAATGCAAACATTATCTGTTCAAACACTATCATCATCGGCTAGAGCCTTACCTGCTACATGCTTTTTTAGACACCTGTGCTGCCTTCAAAACATTTTCATTTACCTCCATTATATTACTACCAATATTGATCATGATCCGTCCCAACTGAAAAAAAAAAAAAATACAACAATATACAGGTTTATCAGAGACGAATGTTATATAAGCTATACAAGTGCAAAACCATTGACCATTATTAAATTTATATTATGAGCAGTAGTGCCCTTCCATTTGGACACAAGGTAATTTTTTTAATCACAGGTTAATGAATACAGACTCAGTTATACACAATGTTAACCTCCTCTGTTTCTTGGGGAATACTCCTAGTCATGCGTGTTATTCAGCACTCGAAATTTCATTCTGAATCTATCACCTTGTATCAGATACTCACTGGGTGAAGAGAGGCAACATAGCTAAAATGTCCTGACCAAGGAAACAACCAATGTAACAAGTGTCACATTAGAACACACAACCTCTTGCCTTAAGCCTGGTTTTTCATAAAATCGCTAGTGATTTTTGTATAGCTCTCCTTGACACAATTCTGAATTCGACTGACAAATCAGCACCGTTGAAAGGTGTTGTCAGTAATAGTATGTTGCAATTTTATCGCTGTTCCCCACAGTTCCACACCAGTAGTATAATTTTTATCCATTACAATACACACAGACCAGTATCACATTAATCTCTATCATTATCATCATTTATTTCTTTCAAGTCCATCTGCAAAGTACTGCAACATTACAATCTAATGGACATTTCTGGAGTTTAATTAATCAGACTGCATTATTCTTTAGGAAGAGCAGGTATTATGCACATGCCTCACAATCTACCATGTTTTTCTTTGAATGAATGTTGGACCTAATAGCAAGAGAATAGAATTTGAAGAGGTCCAACTGCCCTGATTTTGTATGCACGTACTGAAACGTTAAAAACAGTACTGCCACAAGATAGGGGACGCCCTATTACAATTTGAATAGAGTTCGAAACTCGCCTTTTGCAGGACACCCTCTACTTTTTGGTAGTACTTTTTTAAACAGGATTATGTTCCAACGAAACCCTGAGAGTCAGATGGCTTGCAGTTCCATACTCTTTGCTAATAGCAACAAAATTCAAGAAACAGGCCTTAGTGGAACAATATATTATAGGAATTATGGTTGCTTAAGTTGTTTTTTTATTACATCATGACTAATGCATTGTGGTCAGCATGATGAAACTCCAGTGCAATGTTTCCTAGTAACATGCCTTGCTTGGTTGAGACTCTCAAAGTTGAGTTTCAATCATGAGAAAAAAAAAAATCCTAGAATTTGCAGGATTAAAAACCAAAAACTATAAGCTATACATTTTTTTTTCTGTACATATCTGTCATTGAATTCACTACAGTTAAAAATGTTTGTCTTCTCGTTGTGAATTTTAAAACAAAAGGAGATGATATTGAAGAAATAAGTATGAAATTCTGATTTATGGATCCACTTTTGGGTGCTCTTAAAATCAATGACAATTTATTGGTATAACTTTATGATAACACTTTATAACTCACTATAGAATACTGTTCATACATGTGTTGTTCTTAGTTAAATGATTATGCATGAAATAAAAACACTACAGATCTTAAAAGTGTACATCCTTCAAGGATTTTTATTAATATAAATTCTCACTAGAAATTTGGTAAATGGGATTGTAAATCCCAAGACCATGCTTACATGGATGCCTGTAATTGGTTTCAATGTAGGCAATGTGCCATCTGTAATAAGCAAAACCTGTGATATGGTTATTGTTGATGACATCAGTGACTTAAGAAAAACCAACGTTGAAAGGAAGACTGACAACTGTTAAGTAGAGCTGCAGCTTAGTGGGTATAGTGCTTGCCTTTCAATTCTAGTGTCTTGGGTTCAAATCCTGTGACATCAGATTTTTTCTCACAACTAAGATAACTATATTTCTGAAAGTTTCTGAGAACTAATTATCACCTTAAACAGAATTCATTAAATAAGGACCGCACACAGAGACAAGCAGGGAGTTATGACTGGTGGATAAGATTGTTGCTTTACTTTCCAATGGTCATGGGTTAAAATCCAATGATACCAGAATTATTTCTCACAATTCCAATTTCAAAGCTGTCCAGAGATCGATTATCACCTGAAACTATCCAATAACTGAGGAGCACACACCAACGCTCAGAAACACTCAAAAAGTAACTTTAATTTCAGCCCTCTAGCTGAAACACAAGGAGATCCACGAAGGAATTGAACCAAGACCCAAAGAGTCTAACAGTATGTATTGTTTAGTGGCACACACAGCGGCTACTCTGTCTTAGCCAACTAAGCTATGCTGCTATTATTCCAATACTTCTTATTGTGGATGAGTCTTAGTTTACACTGCTAGATATGATATAATGATATATCAATTAATTATAATTTATGGAACTAAATCCTTTAATAATATAACTAAATCAGATCTTGTTTCCAATCGAATAGGCTAAGTTTATTTGCATAAACTATAAGGTTTGAAATAATCTATGATCCATCAAAAATTGATTCTAACCAAAAATGACAACATATGGACAGTACTGTCAGAACAAACGTGACACGGCTGGCATCTAAAGTCGATGACAACGCTTCACAGCTCATTAAACATTTGAATTAGAAATGAGAAGTGTTTCAACCTGGATATAATCTTGTTCAGATGAGCGGCAGTCGAGTCGTGAATCAATGATGGGTTGGTGAAATGCGTCTAAACCAACATAAAGTCAACCGATCAAGTAATAACACTTGCCAAGGCCTGATCATTATTCACTAACATCAAAAACAACTGTGTTCACATTTGTATTCTCTTTTTGTACTCCAAGTAATTCTATACAAAATAATATCAACACATTAAAAACAATATCAACAAATAATATTGTATTATTAATAATTAATTTGTACAGTATTTGTAATGTTTTTATATAATGTATTACTATAAGGCATCCTGTAATTAGCTTTTTGCTGTTGGATGACGATTTCAAATAAACATTTTAAAAATTAAAAACATCAGCAAATCAAACAGTAAACATAAAGTAAAAGTAAATAATATAATTCATCTTTTATCTACATTATGTTGACCTCTTTCACAAATGCATAGGTAGTTGTATGTTAAATATGTGTAATACTGGATACTAATCTGGGAATGGAGATGGTTGTCCATTGTGGTTGAATTTGAATGTTATGATGCAATAATAACAATAATAATAATAATAATAGATGGATTTATATAGCGCAAACAAATGGATAAATAAATAAATAATAATAAATAAATAAATAATTAAATAAAAAATAAATAAATAAATAATTGGATAATAATGGCTAGGACTTTTATGGATAACTACTGAATTTCATCTTTGGTATGTTGTTTGCAGTAGACACCATGACTATAGGCTAAGTATTGCAAATACAATAGTGCCAGAGTGTAGTCATGGTAGTGGTATAACCATGGTAGTGGTTTACCCATGGTAGTGGTTTAAGAATGGTAGTGATAAGAGTGTAGTGATTTAAACATAGTAGTAGTTTAAACATGGTAGTGGTTAAGCATGGTAGTGGTTTAAAGGTAGTGGTTTAAGTATGGTGGTGGTTTAACCATGTTGGTGGTTTAACCATGGTAGTTGGTTTAAACAGGGTAGTGGTTTAATGATAGTAAAGATTTAGCATGGTATCAGTATGTATAATAGAGTTATGTGCATATTAGTGGAAATAACCATGGTATTGGTACAACCAATAATGGTCTTTTCCATAAATGCCTCCCATTAGATCATTGGTTCATAAGGTCCTGCAAGATGGCATTGTGCAAATGTGTTTTTGAATACAGATTTGTGGGGGACACATAAAATTCCCTGGCTCCCACTTATTAACATGTTCTGATTGGTCAGGTTGTTGAGTTTGATTTATAACACTCCAGAATAGTCCATAGTGATGCAACCATGGTAGTACCATAGCCATGATTATGATCCAACCAAAGTAGCGATAAACCGATGACAAGTAGTTACATTTGCATGTACTACTGCCGTTCCTCCACCATACACACCAATGCTACCTACCTCTTGACTCGTATATTCAACGACCTTCTCCAAGGCTTCAGCAACGAAAATGATGTTAACTTTATCCGTGAAACTTCCAGCATCTGATGTCTGGATTTCCAAATCTCTGGCAATTAACAAAGCTTGATCAGTACTGGCACAAGGCCGCTGGAAAAATAAATTTCATTTCATTAATTAAAAAGGACATTAATCACAATAAATCTTTATTATTCACTTGTTTTCTGCAAGAACCTCTTGTGGCTCTGTTCAGCATAAACAAAAATGTTTCATATCATCAAAGAGCTGGACATTAATAAATCAATCTTTGTTTTTCACTTTTTTCCCCACAAAACTCTTGTGGTTATTTTCAGCATAACACAACAAAGATAAAGTATATACATGAATGTATACATGTATGTACATTATGGGGTAAGAACCCACATAGATCTAAAGACTGTTGAAGACATATACAGATCTCCAAATCTAGCCAACTAGCCAGATAAATAGATGAATGGCAGACTGATGTTAATTATGTAGAAATGGATGGCGCAACGATTGTGCCTCAGATTTTCAACCTTGAGATCAGGAGTTTAAAACATTCACTATGCAAGTCGCTTCTGTCCTTTGGCACTTTATCCACGGTGTCTCTCTTCACCCAAGAGTATAAGTGGGTACCTGAGGAGGTTCAAGTGCAAAATGCACTGATTTATTTCATGCAACAAATTATGGAATTTCTGCCACAAGCATCTTTCCAATGACTGTGGTAGCAATGCGGAGAAGTGCTCTGTGACTTAGCTGTGTAGAATGCTATATAAAAACGTACGTATTACTGTATTATTATTAAAAATAAAATAATAGGCATAACAATATTATTATTGATGATGGCATTTACATTTAATACGGTGAAACCTCCATTTAATGGGCATCACATGACAAAATAGATAAATAAATAATATTCTACAATGCAATATGTACAGCGACTGCGCATTTTTTCCATATATTAAATCGTTGCAATCATTTGAGTCGTTAAATTACAATCCTTTAAAACCCCTCAAACCTGACTTTCATCCGAAGATAAAATAAATATGATCATATGATACACGTATCAAATGGACTTCAGCAAATGTAATTATATAGTATATATCATCATCATCTGACAATCAGTAAATATGCCAACGACATGAATTACATTCGTCTCAATGTAATGTCAGTAATCACATTTCGAAGTCATTTGTCAACTTGTTGTTTCGTGATGTAGTGCGGTGATCACTTCTACGATTCTTAGCAGGCGAAAGCAATTAAGCAAACATAAGAACTTAAGTACTGTCGTTTATAAAATTGATTGCAATAAATGAGGCAGTCAAGATGTATAAATCAAATAGATAAGATTTATTAGGACTTCGATCATCACTTCATTCAATTAGGATGCAT